CATATCGTTCCACGCAATACATAAGGCCACAAATAATAGCAATCTCATTTTCTAGGGGGAAAAGCAGAAGCCAACATTGATTGTAGTTTGCTCAGTATGAGGGAAATAGCTATAATATGCCCTGTGACTCTCCTTCATAAAGTCTTCTACAGTCACACCTTAAGAGAAATAACTATAAACAGTCTTGACTGACCTGGCAGTCATGCTAAGACTGCCATAAAGGTCAGAATTGGAGTCAAGTGTGGCTTTAAGGAAGAAGTAAACATAGTGAAGACCATATAAGGTTAGGGAAGAAAGTCTAATGTAAGTTGCAACTCAGAATGTGGATTGGGAAGATTAAAATCTCCTTGGGCCCATGAGAATAGTGGCTTCTTTTTCCTCGTCTAATTGTTTGATAAGGAATTGTTGCTGCCTTAGGTGGGTCACTACCACTCAAGATTTGCCGTTTGACCTTAGAGATCCAAAAAGCTCAACTATTTATTCTCCCCAAACTGATCAGTGTTGAGAAGCCTGACAATTTTCTGAGGTGAATGGTTTGTAAAGCAAGCTCTTTCTGTTGTGTCTCTAGCACCATCTACAGGAAAACGAAAATGCCCTCATTAGAACGGCTTCCGTATTCCTTTCCCAGGGAGCAAAGAGGAAGAAGAAGGGAGGAAGAAAGAGCAGATTCTGTTAAAGAAAAAGAACATGAAATATGTTATACTGAAATCAATTTTATATAGAGATGTAACCAGTGAAACAAAAACACAAACATTCTAGAGCCAGCCCTATCTGCAGGGGTTAAGCCCTGTGCAGGGAGCTAAATCCCATATGGTCAGCCATGATTTGAATCCCAGTTTTCGTGACTTGAAAAACCACTCCACACGCATGTGCATGCACGACCAGAATCCTGACAGGATGGAGAAATGGAGGAAAAGGGATTGCAGCGTAACCATGTCCCACTAGGGGGCGCACTTGCACACATTTTCCCGCTCTCTCTCTAATAGAGTAACACGCCCTCTGGTGATTAAAAAAATTAACACAAACCTTATAAATAAAAAACACAAGCAAACAGAAAAGCAACAAGTGTAAGTCATAACATAGAAGCATACTGCGAAGTCTAATGACTGAACTAAATATTTAGAATCTATACATGCTCTATTAATGTCATTAAATGCCTCTATTAAACAGTCTTTTGAATCCCAAAGCAAAACCTGACAGAATGCTGTGTACAAACCAAGTGACTCAGGAAGGTTGAAAATATAAGCATGCAAAAGCAAACCAAGCAAATGCAAGCCAAAAGTAACCTCAGGGCCAGCAGATGGTGTAGCAGTTACATCTCTGGACTCCCACATAGCTGACTTGATTTTTCAAGTCCCTGACCCAGTGGCTTGAAAAATCACACCAGGCACGTGTGCATGTGTGCCCAAGATCCCAAGAGGAGAACAAGTTCTAGGTTCAGGAGACCTCCCTGTGTGTGCCAGACACGTGCATGCCCATAATCAGAGCCGACTGAAGCTGGGGGTGGGGGTGGATTGGAGCACCGAGATCCTGTTGAGGGTTCTGTCTCTCTCTCTCTCAATCTCCCTCACCCATTATAATTCAAGTTATTTTGGAATGACAAAGAATGGAATTAACATTGAAGGTTCCTTGGCCCTGTGATTAAAGGAGTCAAATCCCACATGGCTGACTATGGTTTGAATCCTGGCCCCTGCAGCTTGAAAAACACGCTGGGCATGTGTGCCCCAAGTCCTGAGAGGAGGGAGAAATGGAGATGAAGGGACTGCAGCCAGACCATGCCTCACTGGGAGGTGTTTCTCCCCTCCTCCTTTGTCTCTCTCTGGTGAGCGTGCAGATCCTCTGGAATACAGGAAACAAACAAAAATGAAGGTTTGCAAAAAAATGACCATATCTAAGACCATAAAAAAACCTGCAGCTAGTTTCATGAAGTATAAGTCATATAGCCAGTATAGACCTAGAAATGTTTTAATTCCCTCTGAATTATAATAGGAATAAAAAATAAATAAAATCACAAAACTAGGGATAACTAGAAAATAACTACATTATATATAATTATAATAATGTAATATAGTTACAGTATTATAATAACATAATAAACAATTATACTACATAATTATATATAAGGAAATGTAATATGTAAGGGGCTTTCAAACAGTTCACAGAAAATGAGTTCATGAACAAAGGACACGTGGCTTTCCTTTCCGTCTGGCGGCAGCCGTCAGGTAAGCCAAGATGGGCGCATACAAGTACATGCAGGAGCTGTGGCGGAAGCAGCAGTCCCACGTACTGCCAGCTCTTGGTGCTGCACCGGGCGCCGCACCCCACCCCACCCCGCGGACAAAGCGCGCAGACTGGGCTACTGGGCGGAGCACGGTTATGTGATATACCGGACTCGAGTGCGGCGTGGAGGCCGCAAACGCCCAGTCCCCGAGGGTGCAACCTATGGCAAGCCTGTGCATCATGGTGCTAAACAGCTCAGGTTTGCTCGGAGTCTCCAGTCTGTTGCAGAGGAGCAGCTGGACGCCTCTGTGGGGCTCTTAGAGTCCTGAATTCTTACTGGGTGGGTGAAGAGTCCACATACAAATTCTTCCAGGTTATCCTCATTGATCCATTCCATAAAGCTATCAGAAGAAACCCTGACACCCGGGGATACCAAGCCAGTCCACAAGCACAGGGAGATGCGTGGGCTGACATCCGCAGGCCGCAAGAGCCAGGCCTTGGAAAGGGCCACAAGTTCCAGCACACTATTGGCGGCTCTCGCCATGCAGCTCGGAGAAGGCACAACACTCTCCAGCTCCACCACTACTGCTGATCTAAGAAATGTTTGTAAAATTCATACCTAATGAACAATTTAGGACAGTCAAAAAAAAACTACACATGGATTTCAAAATTTCTTGCACCAAAATAAACTCATACTTTAATCCTATTTCCCATGACCTTTTTGAAGTCACTTCATATATTGGAATATAACATAACAGAAGTATTATGTTACTACTATTATATAATGGAAACTCTTCACATGTGATCTAGCTTAGTATTGTTCAGAAGAAAATTTTAGGCCTAAGTACTTCATTAATCAACATAAATGAAGCAGGCGTCTAATGCAAGATATTTGAAAAAGAATGACAAAATAAACCCAAAGGAATGAAAACATTAATAAAAATAGAATCAGAAGCTATGATTTTGAAAAAAGTAAGAAAAAATAGTACTAATAAGTAAATCCAAGAGCTACTTTATTGGAGGAAGAAAAAATAAACCCATGAAATAGACATAACCTTAGCTAATCTATTCAGTACACAAAATAAGTGCATGTAGGCAAATACCACAAACAGATGAGATTAAGAGGAGGCACGGGCACGCACCAGAGAGAGCACTCTCCTGTGGGGCGTGGTCAAGCCCAAATCCTTCTGCCTCTATTTCTCCTTCTCATCAGGATTTCAGGCATGCACACACCCATATCCAGCATGTTTTTCAAGCCACTGTGCTAAGGAGCCAGGCAGTTTTTCCATGCATTTTTTTAAAGAATTATTTTTATTTAATTTTTTTTTTTTTCAGTTTGATCAGAGAGAGACAGAGAAAGGAAAAGGTGAGAAAGCAAGCTGCCAGGTCCAGGATTTGAAGCACTGTGGGCCATGTGAGAGTCTAGCACCGTTAACCTCCACATGACCTGTGGCCCCATTTCCATGAACATTTTATTTTTTTTGAGAGGTTTTTGCTATAGGGCATGTGCGCTCACCAGAAAGACAGAGAAAGAGAGACAGAAAGTGAGACATCAGTCCCCAGGGCAGATGGCCACGCCACAATCCCTTCTCCTCCATTCTCCTCTCGGGATCTTGGGCATGCACGCACATGTGCTCAGTGTGAGTTTAAGCCACCAGGTCTGGGACTCAAACTGCAGTCGCCTACGTGGGAGTCCAGTGACATAGCCATTACGGCATCTGCTGGTCCCATTTCCATGATTTTTTTTTTTTTAAGAATTATTTCATTCAACTGTACTTATTATTATTTCAGTATGACCAGAGAGAGGAAAAGTGAGAAAGCAAGCTACCAGGTTCAAGACTTGAACCACAGCCGGCCATATGAGAGTTCAATGCCTTAACTACCATGCCACCTGCTGGCCCCCCAGTGTTTTTTTCGTTAAGAATTATTTTATTTGGGCCGGCAAATGGCGTGGTGGATAAAGGCGCTGGATTCCTACATGACTGACCACGGTTTGAGTCCTGGACCTGGTGGCTTGCTTTCTCACTTTCCCTTTCTCTCTCTCTCTGGTCAAATTAAAAAAATAATAATAATAAATGGAGTTAAATAAAAATAATTCTTTTAAAAATAATTATTTTTATTTAATTTTATTTATTTACTTATTTTAATTTGACCAGAGGGGTACAGAATAGGAAAGAGAGAGAGAAAGAGAGAGAGAAAGGAGACCACCAGGTCCAGGACTCAAACCGCTGTCAATCATGTGGGAGTTCAGTGCCCTAACCACCACGCCACCTGTTGGCCCACCCAGTGTTTTTCCTAATAGCCCCTGCTACAGTGTAGTGTCTATAAGCAGATCAAGGAAGTGATTGGGGTGGGGTAGCTGCTAATATCCCTTTGGCTATTAATGGTCCAAGAATAGTTTGAGAATCACTAATCTCAGGACTTGTTCAGCATCTGGTTATCTGAGCTAGGTGTAATGCTTGCAGCACTACAGCAGACTGTCAGCACGGTGACTGACGGAGTGCTTAGGATGGCCATCACCCTTTATCCCACTTAGCCCTGAATGGAAATTGCGTGTTAGCTTGGTTTTTGTCCATGGAATGTTACTGTTGCTGCATTTTGCACTCAATAGCATATTCTAATTAAGGAAATCTAATAATCCGTTCTCCTTAGGATCTGGGGTCCTTTCTTTGTAAGTTGAAATGAAGTCTGAGAGGTAGAGGCAGTGGGTCTTTAAACTTCTGCATAGAAAGATTTTGTCTGAGCATTTATCACCTTTGTTTCCTGCCTCTTCCCTCCAGGAGAAGTTGCTCCGGTGCAAGGGACCGCTTTCGATCTGAGGAAGCCAGTGGAGCTTGGGAAGCACCTGCAGGAGTTCCGCCTTAATGGTTTTGACCACAACTTCTGCCTAAAGGGATCTAAAGAAAAGCATTTTTGTGCAAGGTCAGGTCCTTTTCATGTACTCCCTCAGTAGGGAAGAGGAGATGCCAACTCTTTGAGGCACTTTTCCTCTGGCTAGAGCAGAGTGGGGGGACCAAATAGCACATCCATGTCTTTCCTTTTCTTTCTTTTTTTTTTTTTTTAAATTTTATTTAGTATTATTCTTTTTCAATTTGACCAGGGCAGGGGTGGGGGGTAGAGGAGAATGAGAGAGAGACAGCCGCCAGGTCTGGGACTTGAACTGCAGTTGGCCTGTAGGAGTCCAGCACCTTAACCCTATGTCACCTACCTGTCCCTATGCATATCTTTTCAAAGCTCCCATGACAGAAGTAAGCTCTGTAGGACTGACCCCGCCCACATTATCTGTGTGTCCTTCTCTCTTAGCCCTGGATGCTTCCCTCAGCATCCCTCCTCTCCCTAGCCCTGCTAGTTCTTTCATTTTTAAAAAATTTTCCTAGTCAATTTTTGTGCTCACCAGAGAGAGACAGAGAGACAGAGAGGGAGAAAGCAACCCCAATGTGGCATGGTCAGTGCCTTCTCCATTTCTCCATCCTGTTGGGATTTGGGGCATATACACACATGCACCTGGTGTTTTTCAAGCCTCTGAGTCCGAGACTCAAACTGCATGGTCGGCCATGTGGGGTCCAGCTCCCCTAACCACCAGGCCACAGCTGCAGCCCATCTCCTTGTTCTTTAAGGCCCATTTTCTATTAGAAGCCTTAAGTTTTCCCAACCACGGTCGCTCTGTGGTCATGAACCTCCAGAGCCTCCACTTTCTCAGTTTGTGATTGACGCCCTGCCTACTCCCAGGGAAGGAGGGGGCTGCACTTCTCTTGCAGTACTCACCACCCACTCCGGCCTAGTTTGACAGACTCTCCTCACTAAATCCCCCGCTCCTGCGCTTTTCATCTTCGTGAATCCCCGCCACCGCCCTAACACCTGGTGCCATATGTGGCACTAGCGAATGTTTGCAGAATGAATGGACTTGAAATAAAACATAGAAAACGATTCAAACTCCAATAGAGAAAAGAACAAACTTCAAAAACATTCTGTGTCTCAGGGTCCCAGTGCCACGCCCCTACAGGGGTCCTCCAGCTAACCCACTTTCCTCTCTGAGCCTTGCTTCACAAGAACGAAGCCCCTCTGGGACCCTAACCTGCTTCTCTCTAACCTGGCTGCTCCCTCCCCACTCTGCCCCTTAGCTGGCTGGGGTGAATCTGTTTTGCTCTTCCCAAAGAAGACAAGATCATGGAAAAGTTGCTATTGAGGCGTCTTTTTTTTTTTTTTTTTTTTTTTTTTGGGGGGTTTTTTTTTTAGGGGGTTTATTGAGAGGCTTTTGCTATAGGGCATGTACACTCGCCAGATAGAGACAGAGACAGAAAGTAAGAAATCATTCCCCCCAGGGGGGTTGGCTACACCGCAATCCCTTCTCCTCCATTCTCCACTCGGGGTCTTGGGCATGCACACACACATGCACCCAGTATGAGTTTAAGCCATCGGATCCGGGACTCAAACCATTGTTGACTATATGGGAGTCCAGCGATATAGCCATTATGCCAACTGCTGGTCCCGTTATTGAAGATTCTCAAGGCACCTTCTCATGCCCAGCCCATGAAACTGGAAGAATTTTCTATCATACTCATCCCATCTTCCTCTCCCCTTTATATCTCGTCTGCTCGGACGCTGGGTCAGACGGTCTCAAAGCACCTTCCCAGCTTCTGCCCCTCCCCACCTGCTTTTCTGCACCAGACTCATGTGGCTTGTCTTCATCCCCAGGGTGTATCATGCTGGAAGTGGGCGAGTCCTCGAAGTGTACACCACCCAGCCTGGGGTCCAGTTTTACACAGGCAACTTCCTGGATGGCACACTGAAGGGCAAGAGTGGAGTGGTCTATCCCAAGCACTCGGGTTTCTGCCTTGAGACCCAGAACTGGCCTGATGCAGTCAATCAGGTAAAACCACAGCACTGTCAGAGTGGTGCTGTGTCCAAGGTCCTGCTATATGGGAGAGGTCAGGACACTCGTGTCAAGTCGTATGAATCAAGAGTCCCTGTTGTTCTCGTCCCCAAGTCATGAGAAGCAGAGAAAACCCACAGCAAGTTTCTGACGTGGGATGTACACATTGAAAAAGCTCAGGTCTCACACCTTCAGAGCCTTTATCCAGCTTAGTGTTTCTCACCAGCACCTACTCATCGTCTACACCACACCTTTTGTTTTTGTTTTTGGAGAGGTTTTTGCTATAGGGCGTGTGCACTCGCCAGAAAGACACAGAGAGAGAGAAAGCGAGAAATTACCCCCCAGGGTGATGGCCACACCACAATCTCTTCTTCATTCTGCTCTCGGGATGCTGGGCACGCACGCACATGTGCCCAGTGTGAGTTTAAGCCACCGGGTCCAGGATTCAAACCATGGTGGGCTATATGGGAGTTTAGCAACATAGCCATTACGTCAACTGCTGGTCCAGACCACACTTTGTTTTTGTTTTGCCAGGGGAGAGGGGAAAAAGGGAGCAAGAAAGCACCCCCTCCCCATAGGGAGGATGGTGATATGCAATTCCTTCTCCTCTGTTTCTCTCTTTTGGGAATTTGGGCGCACACACACACACACACACACACACACGGGAGACAGGACATACACATGTAACAGTTAGATGTAGTTGCACCACAGCAGAGCTTGGGAGCCCAGAGCACTCACTCTGGCATGTTTTTCAAGCTGTTAGGCCCAGGGCGGGCTAGCCACGCAACTGGCCACGTGGGATCCAGCCATCTTCACCACGCTGCCGGCTGACCCTGCAACAATTTTTAAGCAGATCCTCCACATCTTCTCTTGCCACCTCACTTGCTTTTCTAGCTATGCTCTGCAGATGTGCTCCTCAAAGCAGCAGCCACTAGTAAGAGGCTCCTTGCATCAGGATGTAAATCAAAACGTGGCTTCCCTCATTGACAAGTGGACTTCATAGTTGACTTTTTTTTTTAAGTTATTTTATTTAACTTTATTTTTAAAATTTGACCAGAGAGGGACAGAGAGAGAGAGAAAGCAAGTCGTCAGGTCCAGGACTCAAACCGTGGCTGGCCATGTTAGGGGAGTCCAGCGCCCCTAACCATCACACCACCTGCCGGCCCCTGTGGTTGACTTTTATTATGGTTCAAGTTCTTCATATCATTGTCAATAGCAAACAGTCTCTGTACTTGCACCATTCTACGGAGCCCCAGTCTGGAGACCAGTCCTGAAGCATACCCCCAAATGGTTGAAGGGGCAGTGTGGGCTGCCAAGGTGAGGCCTCAGCCAGAGAGGCTTATGGGCATGTGCATATGTTCAGGGAGGTTTCTGGATGCAAACCCGGAACCTTCCTGTGCAGGTCAGCCTCACAGAGTAACCATGTTGTTTTCCCCTTCACAGCCCCACTTCCCTCCTGTGCTGCTGAGGCCTGGGGAGGAGTATGACCACACCACCTGGTTCAAGTTCTCTGTGGCCTAAGGAAGTAGGAAGATGTGACCCTGTCCAGGGCCAGGCTGGGAGAACCCTCTGCAGCCTGTCTTCTGTCCAGAGATGAGATGAAGATTCAGAAGCTCTAAAAATGATCCTGTGAACTAAAATCATACAAATGGTGGCTGTCACGATCATCAGCTTGAATATTGATTTCCTTTCCCAGTGTCTGACTCCAGGCCATGTTTATAGACTGACCCCAGCCCAGAAGGGTACTGAGCACAGGTAGAGCACAGGTACACACACAGTCCTCAGTTCCACCTCCCCACCCCGCCTCTTTTCTTTCCACTTTTCACCTTCTTTGATGCTACTCTCACCGCTTTTCTGCCTCTCCTTTACTTCAGACCGCTCTTGTGCAACAAGGTCACCTGAGCTCGTTTAGCACGCTGGCAGAGGGACCCGTGCCTCTGCAAGGCAGACGACTGACAGTGAAGGAGCTGACAGGTTTAGAGAGGGTGAGAGACCCACAAGCTAGCAAATACCGTAGCCAGGGCTTGAGTTCAGGTCATGAAAATCAAATCAAATCCCCTTCTTTACCTCTGCATTAGTGTCCCAGACCGTTTCCAGGGTGACTGAGGGACAAAGAAGGGTCTGGCCTCAGTCTTTCTTGTCAGATTGTTTCATAGGAAGCATGAGGCTGACTTGAATTCTCTCTTAGCCTTAGAAGTGGTATGACTTGAAGTGCAAGATCAAACCACCCAGAAAGAATCTGCCAATTAGATTCTCTGCCTTGAGGTGAACTGAGAAAACTCAGCTCAGCCCTGCCAAGGTATGGGAGAAAGGAAGGCATTGGAGACGAGTTGTGCAGCGTGAGGAGAGTGCTTCGCCTTTCCAGCACCATGCAGGTTACACTTTGCACCAGGAACAGACGTTTGGTAGACAAGGGTGGCCCCCCTCTTCCTGGACAGTTGAATCATCAATGGGTTTGGGTTGGTAATTTGTAAACAAACATATTTTCTACAATCATATACTCCAATCAGTTGAAATAAAGCCAAAATCTGCATATTTTGAAGACTCCAGTTCTTTCACCTTTAAGTCTGTCGAGCATGGACCTGTGGGAAGTAAGCCAAGCAGTGGAATGTTCTGGAGTCTACTGTGTTCTATGGAGGCCCCAGCATTTTCCTAGAGGAAAGCTACCTACCTGGTGGCCATTCAGCTCTTCTTATTTCCTTTCTTTACAATCAATAATTAACCAAAGGGGGACCAGCAGTTAGCGTAATGGCTATGTCGCTGGACTCCCACGTAGTCGACTGTGGTTCGCATCCCGGGCCCGGTGGCTTAGAACTCACACCAGGCGCACGTGCGTGCATGCCCAAGATCCCGAGAGGAGAATGGAGGAGAGGGATTGCGGTGTGGCCATCCCCCCGGGGGGTGATTTCTCCCTTTCTGTCTCTCTGTCTCTTCCTCTCTGTCTGGCGAGCACACACGCCCTATAGCACAAACCTCTAAAAAAAATTAACCAAAGAAATTATTTTTTTAGAGGTTTTTTCCTATAGGGCACATGCGTTCACCAGACAGAGAGAAATCACCCTCCAGGGGGGATGGCTACACGACAATTCCCTCTCTATTCTCCTCTTGGGATCTCAGGCATGCACAGCACACACGCATGTGTGCCCGGAGTGAGTTTAAAGCCACCAGGTCTGGGATTCAAACTGCGGTCGACTACATGGTAGTCCAGTGACATAGCCATTACGCTAACTGCTGGTCCCACCAAAGAAATTATTTTAAAATTCATTTCAGCATGGGTTTTCTGAGTAGCCATACTGCACACAGTCCTTGGCTGGGTCTTACCTCTCTGGGGGAAACAGGACATACACATGTAACAGTTAAATGTAGACTCGCACCACGACAGAGCTTGGGATCCTAGAGCACTCACTTTAGAGACAAAGGGATTAGACTATAATTATCTGGAAGATGAGTATTGGTCTGCAGGACAGGCCCTGTGACTGGCCACTCGTCAAGTTCTTTATCCTCAGGCCCTCCCTGTGCATGTAATGACAGATCTGAAAGAGTGGAGGACAAATGCTCAGGCAGCCACAGCATTGAGCAATTGCTGGGGAGCCTGGAGCTATGTCCTATTTCTTTTCCCTGCTGGGTCTGAGCGGGCAGTGGAGGTCTACCCAGATTACTGTTCAGTGTTCCAGTTTATACTTCCATCACACATTCTTTTGAGGTTCTCTGGACAACTGAATTTTTTTTTCCTTTGCTTGTTTCATGAGCATGACAGACAGAAATAAGTACCCTCAACAGGGTCCATCCCCCCAGCCAGCCAGGATCATGAGAGCACATGCCTGACATGCATAGGTCGAAAGGGGAACTGGACCCACAATCTTCCGTATGGACCGGCCTCAGCGGAGCAGCTCAAGGCTGGCATGAGTAACATGAGACACTGTCCAAGAGCTGGGCAGTGGCATGCAGCTGTGGTCCCAGCAACTGAGAGAAAGATGCTGTCTTAAAAAGGGCCAGCAGGTGGTGGTGATTAAAATGCTGGACTCCGTGGTTCAAGTCCCAGACACAGCAGTTTGAAAATCACTCTAGGCACCATGAGTGTGCTTGCTTGCGTCCGTACCCAAAATCCCAAGAGGAGAATGGAGAACGGATTGGGGGGATGGTTTTTCATGTTCCTTCTGTCTCTCTCCAGCCAGTACACGTGCCGTCAGACATTAAAAAAAGAAAACTGCACACACATTGCTGTGAAGACCAAGGTACCCTGGTATGGAGGCTGAAATGTTATGACCATTGTATTACAAATGACAGTGCAAATTGGGAAGACTAAAGGAAGTTTCAATGTCACGATAGTTTGTAATAAAAGTACAATGTGAAAAATACTGGACCTGCACAGAGGGCAGGAGGGCACAGCATGCCTTGGGTCCTGGCCAGTCTTCATTATCACTCCATTTTAAACAACTGCACCACGTTTCCAAGGGCTACTTAAATAGTTTTGATGGGCGTGTCCTCTTTGTAATGGAAGCATTTATCTCCTCCTCCAACTTCTCCAACTCAGGTACCCGGATCATAGTCTCAGATGCTTTGGGCAGCACTTCCGGCTATCATTGCATGAGAACAGTAAATTATCCTCTTCTCCAAATGGGAATCAGAGGCCCAGCTCTGCGGCCTAGTAAAGGGTGCTGGATCTCCATATGGTGACCATGTGGTTTGAGGCCTGGCCCTGGTGACTTGAAAAACACCAGGTGTTTGTGTGAATGCCCCAAATCCCAACAGGTTGGAGAGTTGGAGCAGGGTTTGTGGCATGATTACATACCACTGCGGTGGTGCTTGCTTCCTCTCCCTGGCAAGCACACACCCCTGGGCAAACTTAAAAAAAGAAAAAAAAAAATCTCTAAGGCTGAAAAAAACTGACAGTTTTTTGTTCCTTTTTGGTGTCCCTGTCAGGTACATATGTCTGGGCCTGAGGCAATCAGAGAGACAACCGGGGTGAGAAAGCAACCCCCTGGGGAGTATGATCACATTACCCGCATGTGCCTGGCCTCTTTTCAAAGGTTCCGGTCCTGTCCCTAGTGGCTGGAAAAACATGCCACATGTGTGCATGCATGCCCACAATCCTGATGGAATGAAGAGATGCAGGAAAAAGGACTGCAACATAACTATGCTCCAGAGTTATGTTGTACTGGGGGAGGGGCTGCTATTTCTCTCTGGTGAGCATACACCTTTTGTAATGAAAAAAAAAAAAAAAAAGTCTGACATTGCAAAATGCTCAGTAACCCGTGAAAAGTTAATTGAGAGGCTCAGGAGTAAATTTGAGATAGCAGAGGAGACAAACTAACAGACAGACTAATAATCATTCACCCTGAACAGAGAAAGGAAAAAGACAGAAACTGAACAGGGCTGGTCCTGTGGCCTGACAGCTAAGGAAGCTCAATTGCACATGGCAAACATGCGGTTTGAGTCACAGGCCCAGTAGCATAAAAACACACCAAACATGTGTGCCCAGAATCCCAATGAGATGGAGACATAGAGGAAAGGGAAATGCAGCATGGCCATGCTCCACTGGGGAATGCTTTCTCTCTCCCCATCTGCTGGGTATATGCACCCTTGGTTAAAACAAAACAAAAACAGAACCTCAGAGACTTGTGGGACAAAATCAAGCACATCAGCATGAGTAAGTAGAGCCCAAGGAGAGGAGAAAGACAGATAAAAAATATTCGGAAAAATGTCAAGAAACTTCTCAGGGGCTGGCAGGTGGCATGTGGTTAAGGCACTGAATTCCACATGGTCAACTGTGGTTCAATTCACGGACCTAGCAGCTTGCTTTCTCACTTTCCCTTTCTCCCTCTCTCTGGTCAAATTAAAAAAGAATAAATAAAATAATTATTTTTTTAAAAAGTTCTCAGACTTTCTGAAAACAATTAATCTATTAGGTTGTTGGCAAAGTCATGACCTATTTTTCTATGCAAAGATGCATTGTGACTTTTCTGACAACCCAATATATATCCAAAAAGCTCAATGAACTCTTAAGAAGGATAAAAACAGATCCTCACCCAGAGAGCTCATACATACATAAAACATTCAATGGTAAAGCAAAGAGAAAATTTAAAAACAACAAAAAAGAAAGAAAATGACCCATCATCACTCCTGGAGATGGCCAATACAAGGAGACTTTAAAAGGTTCATGGAAAGGGACCAGCAGTTAGCGTAATGGCTGTCGCTGGACTCCCATGTAGTCGACCGCGGTTCGAGTCCCAGATCTGTTGGCTTAAACTCACACTGGGCGCATGTGTGTGCGTGCCCAAGATCCCGAGAGGAGAACGGAGAAGGGATTGGGGCGTGGCCATCCCCCTCTAGGGGGTGATTTCTCGCTTTCTGTCTGTCTGGTGAGCACACACGCCCTATAGCAAAAACCTCTCCACACACACACCCACAGAAAGGTTCATGGAAAACTAAAACTAAAACCCAAATTTATTTTAGTGCAAAACAATTTTGAAATGTACGCAGTTTTTTTGTAATCTGTATTTCTCATGAACTTTTTGAAGACCTCTCATATAATTAACAGCTGACTTAACCAAGATTCCATAAGTCAATGGAATGACATAATCAAAGGGCTTCAAAAACAGAGGAATTCCATGTCCCCCAAAGTAAAGGAAGGGAGTTAGGGGTACGGTGTAAAATGTGAGACACTCTGCAAGGCTGACCCCCATGGGAAGGTTTTAAGCTTATGCACAGATACATTGCTCAGTACACTGGCACATACACGCCTGTGAACCAGGGCTGACTGGAGCTGGGGGTGAAATGCAGCACCAAGACCCCATTGGGGATGCTGTCTCTGCTTCCGTTTCCCTCACTGTCTCTCTCACAAAGAAAAAAAGGAAACTTAAAAAAATGTAAACATTCCTACCTAAACAAAAAATTCATCGCTAGCAGGCCTGCCTTAAAAGAAGTACTATAAATCTGAAAGGAAATTATACCAAAATCCAAAAACTAATTTCAGAAATAATAAAAATGTGAATTAATAAAAAGACAATACAGTTAACCTTGAGCAACACAGGCTTGGACTAAATGAGTCCACTCATATGCCATTTTTTTTTCAGTAACTGTATTAGTATACTACTGTAAACGTATTTTCCTCACGGTATTTCATTTACTTTGTGAGACAAGAACATATAATATTGGTTTGTTGGAAAAGTCATGATGTTATTTTTCTGTGTGTGTCTATACAAAATGTCATGACTTTTCCAACGACCCAATACATATACAAAATATATGTTAATCAACTCCATGTTATCAAGGTTCCTGGTTAACAGTAAGGTATTTAGGGGGCCAGCAGGTGACATAGTGGTTGGGGGTGCTGGACTCCTACATGGCCGACCAGAGTTTGAGTCCCAGACCTGATGGCTTGCTTTCTCACTTTCCCTCTCTCTCTCAATCTGCCCCTCTCTGGTCAAATTAAAATAAATTAATTAATTAAATTAAGATAATTATTTTTTTTAAAAGTAAGATATTATACGTTTTGGGCCAGCAGGTGGGTGTGGGGGTTACGGTGCTTTACCC